TGGTGAGCTGATGGCTTGAACGACGAACCTGTCCTTTCTGTCTGTGACAGCTACGCCTGACGAATCTCTCAGCAACAGTAACGGGTACTCAGAGAGAGCAAGAAGGCGACAAAAGAACGCCGCCGCAGCCAGGGTTTACATTTTCAGAGCGTGGTTCCCTTAAAATCGTTGCGTGGTTCTGTTGCTTGTTTCTCGCGCGGTTACAACCCATCCTCACAGACAGAGGTGAAGCTGGACCTCAGTGCCGATGCCCGCAAACTGCAACACTACAGCATGGTGTCCTGCATCTCTTTTTGCTCTGACTTCGGCACCGAGTCACAATTTACAGAGGTGGCCCTGATGGAGCAAGACTGTTTTGCACTGTTTTGTGTTGTCGTTGTGTGTGAGTGTGTGTGTGTGCAGTGTGTGCATCACTGTGCATCCTCACAGTCTGACAGGTCCGAGTAATACGTAATATACGTAATACGTGAACCCCAAAATAATGGCACCAAATCCAATATAAGCCGCCCAGGTTCCCCCGGTCCCGGTCTCTTCGCTGCTGAAGGCAGCTGTGCAGCATTCGAACAACATACTAGGGTTTCCCAAGTCGGTGGGTTCGGGCCCACATATCTCTTTGATGGACTGTGACGATGACAACTTTCAAGGGGTGAGTGGGCTCGGCCTGGCTGCAGCGGCTGCAGCAGAAGAATTGGAGCCGGGGAATGGTGTTGCGGAGGCTGTGGAGCCAGCCTGGCACCTTGGTGGCGCTCTGTTATGCCCAGGTCTGAAGCACATGTGCTCCAACATCGAAGGTGATTTTCTCAAGCGCCTGGAATTTTTCGCCGAGTTTCAGGACCGATCTGATAGCTCATTGCAGGAAAGCCGTTCGCGGGTTGTTTGTTTAGCATCTAATAGGTTCTGCTGCAGCCCCGGGGCCCGGGCCCGCGGCAGCCCCAGCATGTGCCGGCAGCGCAGACTTATCAGACTTGTCCTTGTAATCTCTCAGACTCACTCTGACCTCCTCCGATACAGAATATATACTCCCCTCTTTCGCATTTTTCAATTTCAACATTGACTCCATTCCATCAACTCCAAGATATCGATAAACAATTCCCCCGTACTCCCCTTTTCCAAAATTGTGGCTCAAGATCCGGCTCAAGCCCATAACAAGGGCTCCCCGGTCCCGTGTCCCCCGGCTCAAACCCTGTTTGCTATTTTACTGGTCACCGCTCTGCTCTGCAGGACATGTTGAAGCCAGCGAACACCCTTCTGCATCAGGCTTACTACAGGGACCGTGTGAGGGAACTCTTCAAGAATCAACCCACTGAATGGCTCTTCAAACACTTCGAAGGCGGAAACTTAATAGCTTGGCGCTGGGGTTCCCTGCTGGACGTTTGTAAAGCTCTTCACAAGCGGGAAGGAGCACTGCGCACTGGTTGGAGCCTTCGGAAGTTTCTGCGCATTGCACGCAGCAGCACAGACGGACCAGAAGGTGCAGCCGACGGCGACGTCGGTACGAGCCGTGGGAAGAAGACTCAACTTAGCGATGGTGACCACAAAACATTTAAGGCTGCAGACTCGGCCTGGACATCACGCTACTTTTGGAGCTACTTGAAGTTTATCCTTCTGCTTGGCGGCATTGTCGATGACCTGTCGACGTGGGGCGAAGCTTGCCCGTGTCATGCTTGGAGCAAGCAAGGATGCCCTCTCAGGGGCCGGCGTGCGCCGGAGTGCGCCACAGGTGCTTTTGACACCTTCCTGCAAGGCGTCCTGGCCACTGCGTCGTCCCTCTTCGTCGCTTGCGCAGCTGGTCTCGGTCATGGTTCCCCTGAGTGGGTGCAATTGAACCGGGATTGGCACACAGCTGTGGATGTGATCTCGACTGAGCTTCGGGCGAAAACAAGCCATTGGAAGGAGCTCCCCTGGCTTCTTTGCGGTATTGCTTTCCCCGAATCAGACCGCGCGCGATCTGTGGCCCGAGCTGCCATCGAGAAGTATGACAATCCTGACAGGGTCGACCCACTGACGGTGTATGCTCGGAGGCATCGTATGACACAGCGTTTCCTCAAGAGCGACTATGAAAGCCACGATGACGCCGATGTCCCTCTGAGAGGTCTCCTGGAGAGTTTTATCCAGGGGTCGAGTCTGGACGACGAAGATATGAAGCCTCTACGCGAGGCGCTCGGAGCACTTCGTTTGGTTCGTGTTGTGGAACGTTCCACGGAAGATCCTTGGCGGATTGATTGTGTCAACTTGTCGGACTTGTCGGCTCGACTGCTTGACTTGACCGGCTGTCCCAGATCCCAACAAATAGTCAATTGTGAAGTGTGAATGTCCATAGTAGAGTACTGCTTGACTTGACCGGCTGTCCCAGATCCCAACAAATAGTCAATTGGGAACTGTGAATGTCCATAGTAGAGTCAGTAGTAGTAGTAGTAGTATATGGTGAGTTTGTTGAGTTATGATGACTTATGACGGAGTCCCGATTCTTGAGTCTCGAGGCACAGCATCGCTTGATCAAACAAGTCCTCAACGAGGCACCACATGCTTCGGAAGCATATATCAGCGTGGAGTCCGGGGCTCCGATGATCCTCAGAACCTTTGCAGACGACCCTCAGGCCTGTTTCTTTGTGTAGATATAGTTAACATTGAGTCCTAAGCCTTACCCTTATCTTCGCACTTCGCATGAGCCGAGCATCCGAGCCGAGTTGTGTGACGGTGTGAAAGTAATGTCTGGAAGTGAAGCATGGTGGTGGAGGCTTTAGCTCTTAGCTGTTACACAGTTACAGTCACAGTTGTCCTGTCAAGAATCCAGAACATACGACATATGACGGCCGTTCGACGGGTTGTGAAAGGCTCTTGATGAAGCCGCGAGCCGACATGAAGACCTCAAGACTTTCGCTGGCTGCTGCAGAGCAGTGGCAGCGTTGGTTGGTGGTGATCGGTGTGACGCTTTGCTTACTTTTGCTTAGCTTTGCCTTGGTTGGAAGTTGAAGTTGGATCCTGAGTCTCACGGTCTCGCTTCGCTAGGACCAGGGCTAGGCCGCTCGGGCCGGGCCGGGCCGGGCTAGCGGCTAGTGCGGCCAGAGTTGAAGTTTGCATTGACACGACCCCGACCCCGACCCAGGTCCTGACGCGCCCTCCAAGCGAGCTGACCTACCGAGACCTGTTGGATTTGGTTTACCAAAGAGCTCTGCAATTTCGTCGCGGAGAATCCACAGCCCTTGTCCTTCCTGACTCCGACATGGCACACTTGCGGAAAAACAAGCGACAAATTGCAGAGGCAGAGCGCAGCAGCCTCCCCGCCACGCAGCGGTTGCTTGGGGTCGGGTTCGGGTTGGTAAACGAAGGGAACAGTTAAATATTATTTACCCCAATGTCATTAGATTCATAAGATCATTTGTTCGGACTCTGCGCGTTTCTGCTTCTGCGAGAGTGCGACTGCCCGAGTGCGACCAGTGTCATGTGTGATCTGTGATTGTGATGATTGTGAGGCTTCTGCTGGATCATTTGAAGAGCACCATGACTTACCATGATTTTTACTCTTTGCCTTCGTCACTGTATGGTGTTTTCCCAAAGCAGACGTTGCCGTTTGGTTAGCATTGCTTGGCATATTGTGTGTCTTGTGTGTGTTGTTTTAAGGTATGTCGACATATGTTGACGTTGAGAATTGAGAATGAACTGGTGCTCACACTGTAGGTGCAGTGCATTGGCAACTGGCATCGTGTCTGGACACGGAGCAGAGACTGCCAGCGCCAGCGCTGCAATTCATGCTGGGCGTGGGCCAGTACGTCGGCGCGAGGTGTCTGAGTCAGGGCAGGAGGCGGCAGCTGCAGTGCCTGTTTTACAGTTTTTTCAGGAAGGCGACGACTTGGATCCTGAGCCTGAGCTGGAGAATGGCAGGTCTGACGCTGCTGGGACTGCCGCTGCAGCGGCGGCGGCGGATTCCGTTGCCGATGGTGAGACTGCTCCTGGCCTCCGGGAGTCATCAACAACTGACATTGTATTGTTCAAGATAGCACACCGGGAACCTTCGGGCCTCAAACGACCTCTTGCAGCAGTGGACAATGTGAAGTTCGGTGACGTTGCCATTCAATTGTACAGCGTGCAACTGCATTCTGCTGATGACAGCGGTCCGACCTATGCTGTATCGAGGCAGCACGGCGGCCTGCATGACCTGTGTTTGTTGCGGTTCTTGGAAAGCTTCAGCGCCAACGGTCTCGAAGAGCAAGCTCTCATCCGCGAGATGAAAGTTTGGAAGCACAACACCACGACCCCTGTCGGTCTTGCCCCAGATGTGATTGACCAGCTGTCGCCAGAAGGGATGCAGATGATCTCTGACATGGCCGCTGCACGTGCATTTGCAGGGGCTGGCCGCACATTCAAGATGGTGTGCACCGATCCAGACGACCCCGCTCTGAAAGCGTTGCGGGCTCTTGAGGATTTGGGTTTGGTTCAGAAGTTGTGTGCGGACCCGGTGGCACCAGGCTTCGCAGTCGTCGGCCAGCTCGACTTAGCATCAGAATCGTGGGTTTTGACACCCAAGGCGGCATCGGCCTTGCAGGTGAAGGTTCTGCTTCGGTCGCCACAACAAGTCTTTGCAATGAGACCTGGAGTCCCTTTGCAAGATAGGACCACTTTCGAACTGTTTGTGGTTCTCACAGGCAATGGGTTTAAAGAGATCAAGGCCAAGGACTCCAAAGTGATCAATCGGTACCGCGACAAACCTTACACCGCGTCGCGAGGACAGCCGACAGCCGGGGCATGATTTGATAAGAACGAAGTTCTCTTTGTGTCATTCTCTGAAGTTAAATTCAGATATGGGCAGCCACACGCCAGAGGTGCAGGCAGTTTCTGAGGTTTGTTTGGATTAGCTGAGCTAGTGGTGCCTGAGCCCTGACCATCTTAAGCAGTGACATGGTACGAGACGGTCGTTGCGGTCTCATTCTGATCCGTGTGAGTGTGTTCTTGCAACGCCTGCCTCGCAGGATGTGCGAAGGTGCTCGTTTCCTTGCAGCACGATTATTTGATGGCGATGGCTAGTGCGCATCGGCTTTTCGGGAATGGCTGTGCTGGTATCCATCACTTGCAAACGGTGGCATACTACAAAGCTTTAGTGAACGTCTCCCCAGATAAGATCCGCACTATCCTGCCAAACAAGCCTGCAGATTGGTATAAGAAACAGTGGCAAACTGCAGCTGCAGCCCGCACCCAGACAAACAATGCACAAGACTGGTTGCGCCTGGTCGGCAGGAAGGCTGCAGATGTAAATTATCGTAGTGCCAGTCGCCGTGGTAACAGTGCTAGGCTTCGTCATCATGTCAAGCCTGTACATGCAGAGACCTGTTTCGGTGTTTCGATGAGTCTTTTTCGGTTTGATATTCATGGGTCATGCGCGGTGCAGCCAGGATCAGATTGGAGGATGCGGCTGCAGAAGGGATGCTGCTTATGCTCAGCAACCGCCCGGCCCAGACGCGGACCTTAGGCGTCCGGACTCCCCGGACCCAGCCCAGGATGCCCAGGATGATGATGATGATGTCGTGGTGGTGGGGCGAGCTGTACCCCAGATGACTGATGAAGAACTCGTGGCAGAGTTTGATCGTTTGGTTAAAGAAAGGCAGGAGCTAGACTTGGGGGACCCTGACAGCACAGCAGCAGGCTCCAGCAGCAGAGCCAAAAAAAGACCACGAGGCCCAACTGCGGCACACTTGAATACTTCAGCAAGCAGCATCCTGAATCCGACGACGCAGTGGTTTGGCAGCACTCCCATTGTTTTGCGGTCCGACACACCGGAGTCCTGGTTGCAATAATTTGCCAGCCATGTTGCCATGCGTCTGCAGTGCATGAGGTGAGGAGTCCAGGAAGATTTTAGCTTCGTTAGTGACATGTAGTGTCAATTACTTAATGCTTAGCTAGATCGAAATCGAAGCCCCAGCCTGGTCTGGTCACCCGAGGTGCCCACATACTACACCATCTGCCGAGTGCATTCGAAATCAGGTTGCCTTTGCAGGAAAGATATGCAAATAAACCGGCCTGATCGAGACACGGTCATTCGACGTCTCAAGTGGTGGTTGATCCTGGGTGCCAGCCTGAGCACCCCC